AAGTGGACGATTACAATTGGTATCTATACAAGAGTTACCAAATATTGCCAGTAGATAGAGTAGGCAATGGCAAAAAAGGCGGATTGAATAAATCCGAATTATCTGTTTAGAACGTGGTCACAGCTACCTGGTTTCCATGTGCCACTAGGTTTCTTCAAAAAACTCAATCGAGAACGAGCTGACAAATAGTNGGTTCTGTTTAGAAAGTGGGCGCTACTGAACACGTGGACCTTCAGGATTCGGGTAGAAGAGGCACTATCGATGGAGGGAAACGTCACCAGTGGGGTGCCACAGGGCTCCGTCCTAGACTTTCGTGTTTGCTGACGATGCGGAATTAGTTAATTCAGACCAGCGAGACCAACTACAGGAAGACCCAACAAGGATTATCTGGTGGACTTAGATGTGGGACCTAGACCTAAACCCATGAAAGTGTCACATATTGACCACTGACGGTGGTCTTATTAGAGTAAGCTTGGAGGCGGAAACCACCGAACTAAAACGCCAAGCCCAAACGACTTAGGGATAGCCGTCTCCGAAAATTACAAGCCAGGCGAACAATGGAAAGCTGCAGCACAAAGGGCGAGAGGTCAACTATTCCAGTTGAGAAATACACCGATGACTCGAAAGACAGAAGTCTGTATCCTGCTGCATAAGTCACTGGTGAGAGCCCACCCAAAATACTGTGTCCAGGCCTGGGAACCCTACCTTCAGAAAGACATCCAGAGCATCGAGAAGATTCCAAGGTTTGCCACTCAGGTATGAGGAGCAAGTCATATGAAGAAAAAATTGTAGCGTGAGACCTCTTTTCCATGAAAAGAAGACGCCTTGGGAGTGACTGCATAGAAAAATTTAAGATAATGAAAGGATTCGCTACCGAAAGTGCCGAACGTTTATTCACTGGAACGCCCGTAGAGGTCACCAGGGGACACAGTCTAAAGCTCTTAAAACTAAGGGTTCACCTCGGTGTGCGGTTTACCTTCTACACGAACCGAGTGGTCGATAGATGGAATCAGCTACCACCTCACCTGATGGAATGTGCGACTGAAATCGACTTCAAGAGGCAGTCAGACATGGTTTAGACCGAGATATACTCAGAAGTTTTATAGCAGCGGGGTCTGAGTTTGTTTAGAATTGACATGCTTCTTTATTCCCAACTAATCCCCCTTACAGATATCGCACTGGAGCCAGTTTTCCGCAGAACGAAAGTCGCAAGACAGCGACCGAAACGAGTTTGACGATTTGGGAGAAAAAACCTTGTTCAGACAAGACTCACATCGTGGTCATACGGGTGGAGTGGCTCTCTTCCTTAATGATTCACTCTCACCTGCTTTGCGTGTTTCCCTGCTTACTATTCAATCGATCGAAACCATATAGGTCAATACCGTCTTCCTGATCAGGGACTCACTCCTCCTGGGGATTGTTTATCTCTCCCCATCAAGCACACAGGAGGAGTCAATCACTTCTAACTCAGCTTCGCGACCTCCGGCTCACCTGCACTTTCTCACACCTTCTTATCCTGGGCAACTTCAACGCCCCAAGTATCGCCTGGTTCCGATTTCACTCCAGAGATAGAATGTTTGGTGCACTCCTTATAAACTTCTTCAACGAACACTCGTGGTACCAACACGTAAATTCTCCCACGAGATACCATGTCGGTCAACGTCCCTCTTTGATTGATCTTGCGATTACCAACGAACGACGCCAGATCGATATGATCGCGTATCTAAGTCCTGCTTCCCTTTGACTATATTTTCCGCTGACCAACCTGCAAACGCTCTCACAGAATGCTAGGTTCCTTCAAAAGGGGCGATTTCATTCTATTACGAGAATTCCTGGCCAACAGGCTGGGCTCCTACAATATTGATACTAACAAGAACAACATAAATGAGTTGCTCGAGAGTCTAATTCACGAAGCGGACCACCTGTTTATTCATAGAGTTCCATCTGTATCTGACCATAGGCCTCTCCTATCCCGCTCCATTCGGCACCTAATGGACGAGCGGGCGTGTTCATTCGCTAGACTAAAATGTACTGGACTCGACGCTGTTGCTGCCGAGTTCATGCGAATCCGCAACTTATGTAAGCAGAGAGTTAGGGAATTCCACAATAGACAACAGAAAGCAATTCTTCTTCGTGCTAAAAGTAACCCTAATTCTTTATATAAGTAACTCCGCCATAAAAGGCAATCAACCCCGTCTGCACTAGCCCTCAAGCTACTTGACGGCTCTCCCGTAACCTCCTCTGCTTAGATAGCTGAGATCTTTCAGTCTCATTATGAATTCGCCCTTAATTTTCTTGCTGTCTATTCCTACCCCAATCATTTCTCTCGTAATGCACCACCTCCATTAGACCATTTCATCATTCTTCCTGGGGAGACCGAATTACTCCTCCAATCCCTGAATTCCTTTAGTTCGATGGGACCAGATGGTATACACCCTCGAGTGTTAAAAGCATACTCCGCGGTTCTTGCCCTGTACTATCCCACCCTCTTCCAAAAGTGTCCAGATGTTGGAATATTCCCTTCATCTTGAAAGAGAGGCATCATATTCCCTAATTTAAAAAAGGGAACCGACACACTCCAAGTAGTTATAGACCCATCAGCCTAACTAGCGTATCCAGCAAGGTCTTCGAACGGGTTTTAAAAATGGCGATTTAAAAACACTTAACAGACAATAAGCTTCTTTCTCAAACCCAACACTGCTTCCTCCCTGGCAGATCCTGAATATCCAGTATGCTGTCGGTCATGGACAGTCTAACACAAACTCATGATGACGGCTTGATTCCTGCCGCAATTTTCATTGATTTTGCAAAAGCTTCTGATCGTGTCCCCCACGCTCCCTTATTCTACAGGCTCGAGTCATGTGGCCTCAGTGGCAGACTCCTAGCTCTTTTTCGTGATTTCCTCGCGAACCGCACCTTCTCAGTTCGCGTTAGTTGATCGCTCTCATCTGCCTCTTCCATTTCTAATGGAATTGCGCAAGATTCCGTCCTTGGCCCCCTCCTCTTCCTTTTATATAATAATGACCTGCAACACAGGATCGGAGTCAACTTAGAAATGTACGCCGATGATGTGAAAATTTGGGGCACCGACCCTGTGGCTGTTCAGTCAGCAATGGATGCGGTCAAAGGCTGGTTTACTGCCGGGAACCTTCCAATAAACGACGACAGATGCGGTAGTATGTCGTTTGGGAGGATCCCCGTACACAGCTTCAGGGCTAACGCTTCAACGACCATGGAGAGTGTAGAACACCACAAGGTCCTTGGTTTCTGTTTGACTAGGTTGTTTTCTTTCTCTTGCCACCAACAAAAAGGTAGTAGATCTGAAGCTAACCGGAGTTGACGGCCTACCGGTAAGTTTTCTTACGGGTCTCAATATGCGCGTGACCTCCTAGTGTCTCTTTGCTCGAGGTAGACAAAAACACTCGTGGGAGTCGTAAGTTTATTGGCGAATCGTGGTACTAGGTAGTACCGAACCGTGCAAGGTGACGCTAAACAATGCAAGCAATAAATGCAGTAGCAAAGCGAAAGCGTGTCACACATGTTTCGTGGGTTTGAACAGGACCCGGCTTACATATACACCTGAGCGGAAAACCGGGCTCAGTAAAATAAGCAGAAGTAAAACAAAGAAGTGTCATGGTTGGGGTCAGAGTTGATTGTGAAGAAAATATGAATGGAAAACGTCCTCGTGGATTACTCCTTTTCTTCGTACAATCATAGTCATTACAGATCCGCCTTCCGTGTTCTNAGAATAGATATAGATCACTTTCAGCACGCACGTACGACCCTTATTGGAATACGGGAGTCAAGTTGTTCAGCCCCGCCTGGCGTGCGATTGTACGACCCTGGAACAGGTACAACGGAGGGCGAAAAAACTTGTGCATATCTTGTCTTCCACCACTTACCCTACACGCCTTTCCATCTTGAACCTGTACCACCTTGAAACCCGCCGGATAAGAGGTGACCTCTTCCTACTGTACAATCTCTTCAATTCCGACAGGGTCAACTACTTCATTTTGCACAATAGTATGGATAATCTTCATGGACATAGCATGAAACTCTTCAAACCGCGTGCCCGTAGAGTAACCGTCAGCGCTCTTTCATCCACAGGGTCATTCTTCTTTGGAATATCCTCCCCCAAGAAGTAGTTACTGCCCCCACAAGATCCGACTTCAAAAGGCATCTAGACCTGTATCTTGGTGTAATCCCTGAACGGTTAACACCTCCCCGCCTCATGCTGTTATTCATATCATGTTTGGTAATTTTCCTGTACTTTCCGATTTATCGCACTGCATGCAGATACTGACCCCTCTCCCCTCCTCTTGCCTCAATTCGGGTAACCTTCCTGTACAAAAAGGAAGCGAACGCACGCTAATTACCCAACATCCGCCGTACCCGGCTCACCTGGAAGCAGGACCAGAAGAAACCTTTGAAACTACTAGGATCCGGGATTATTGGGCCTGGCCTCGCACTCGTGTAATACTTCAAGACTTCAAAAGCCTTCCTACCGAAGCAAGAATCTGGACCCTTGGTTGGCGCAAGCTTTTACCGTCCTGTGATATCTGAACTGACCTTGGTGATACGTTCAAACTGGATGCGTGATTTTTGCCCTCTCCGCGAATTTTTAAAAGTTTTGTTGTGTGAAATCAAGTGTATTGTGGTTTCACTTTGGTATTATACTCTTATAAGAGTAAATATACCGTTTTCCCACTGTTTTCCGTTGTATACTTTTTTCGAAAAGGCTTTAAACCGTTTTGGATTTTTATTTACCCGAAATTTGAATTTGTCCAGATTTCGCACGTGTATGAGTTATTTTTTGTCCACTTTCTCTCGCTCTAAACCTTGCTATCGATAGTAACATGCTCGAGCGAGCACTGTTAAAACGGGTAATGAAATGCATACACTGTGAGGTCTGGAAAAATGGGCTGACGCTAACTCCTCTGGGATAACACCAGAAAGATATGCCCTGTATCACAAATATCCAGGGTTGCAGTGGGTTTGTAAATCGTGCCTAAACATAACAAATATAGCAGTACTGAAGACCGTTGCTAAGGGGATTTCTCAAGAGAAATGATCGGTTATCAGCCACACCAAAGAGGGCAAGCAAATGAATCTGCCGAAAACGTACGCGGATGCTGCGAAATTCAATGCTGACCCCACCATCCGGGGTTGCAAGGTGACTAGCAAAGTAAAGATAGCAGTCGGTTCTGCTGTATCGCGTGTACTCAGGACGTCAAAGGCAGGAGTAAACCCAATGGGGTCAAGTAAAACATGCTCGATTACCTAGAAGTTCAAATAAAGAAGGTCAGTGACCAACTGAGGTCACTGAACCCAAACGAGGACGACCAAACTGGGGTTCATAAAACCCTTTTGATCACAGGATGTTTTGAATTCAACTATTTTCTGGTAATCTCAGCAGCTGTGTACCTACATTTGAATCACGTTTGTGTAAAGGAGTGACAGGTTTGGAGACGGGCAAAGACACACGGGGAAGGGAAATCAATCAATACGAATGCCATAGTTCACTAATATGAACCAAATTAGGCATAGGGGCGGGGAGCGGAATCACTGCAGGGTGGGGGATGGGAGAGGGAGAGAGACAGTGACACCTACCAAGACAGCGCGAGGCTAGTCACAAATTCTGTCTGTTTACATAAATGGGGTTTGTAATGTCGAATAGCAGCCGCTTCAGCGAACCGTAGCAGACGGCTACCTTTCTGGCGTATCCAAACGCGATAGGCGTCCCTAAGTTTGTCAAATTCTTTGCAATCCAGTATACGTCGGGAGATTGAAGTGGACGGAAGCTTGGATCCGTTAGACGCCAAATGTTTTGGTACATGCTTCGCTACCCTGGTAGATAATCTTCCCTCAGTTCTTCCGACGTACTTGCTACCGCAGGAGGAGTTAATTGAGGAGTCGGGTTTGTCTAGATTGGATTCAGTGAGCATCTACATTATTCCGGGCGACCAAGGTCAAGGTCAACGTGAAGGTTGTTTGAAAATTATTTATTTTGTACTGCCCGATTATCATTTACTGCTCTAACTTTGTTTGTTCTCATCACTATAAGATAATAATTGAAATAATTGAAATTTTTGTCGTGCTCTGATTCGCTTATCGTGTCGATCGTAAAAGTAAAGTGTAATTGTCATAAATTGTCACTTTGCGGTGTTTTACACCTTATCCTTTGAGTTTTCCGATCGTAGTTATTTACAGTGCTCTGTCAAAGGTGCTCTGTCAAGGTCACAGGTTCATGGTATCTGCGTTTTCCTCTCTTTCATATTGTCATTTAGCCCTCTCTCGTCCTGTCTGCAGGCGGTTCCAGCCCACACATAGACTCGTTCGAACGTATTGTTCAGTACTAGTGAAATATCAGTAGATATTTTACTCAAATAACTTTCGGAGTAGTTTTACGTTTATCAGTATCGTTTGTGATCTGTCAAAGATCACAAACGTTTTACCTGGCAGTTTTTCTGTGCGCACTTTAGTGT